TATGCAAAAGCAAAGTCACCTTCCTGTTCCTATTTGCTACACCCTTGTTTGTACATCTACAGATCGTGTTAGCCTTTAAGTCTCAGAATCAGACTGGGAGCTGATGTTCAGTGGATTGTCCCTGGATTTCCTTTCAGAGCCGCAGCTTCCAGAATACAAGTCTGGCTTCTAGTCCCTGCTCTTAAATACGTGATTTTGCAGGAAGCTACATGAAAACCTACTTTATTTAAGTAAGCAGAGTCTGCCAGATCTCTGTAGCTGTCTTGCCCTTATTATTTGTCTCTCCACCAATTCTTTACTTCTACATCTTTTACAAATAATTTGAAGAATATCAGTACTGGCACTGGTCCCAGCTGAAGCCCCTTCTGACCCCTTCCACAAATACACCCATTCAGTGATTTCTGAATCACAACTACTGATCAAGATCAGCTTAGGGGACTATCTCTGCAATACTGGGATTTATTAAAGGTTAGCATAATAAGTATGCCACAAGTCTCCCGAGATAATGATTTTAGGAGTAACTTACCTGGCGCTCTCATTTTCATTTTTTAATGAATAGAAAAGGTTGCCTAACTCTACCATCCCTTAGAAAATAGTCTGAAAACTGTCTGCAAGAGCATTTTATTGTCTTCATTTTATTTGAGTCCATATTCTTCCCAAAAACAAACCAGAAAAAAAAATTATTGAGCCTATCTGCCCTTCCACTTTCTTGTCAGCCTTTTTACTATCACCATTTAGTGACAGTTTCCAGTACGGTTATTATGCTTTCTCTTCCTCTCAATATACTTGAAAAAATCCTCCTTACAGTTGTCACGGATTATTCCAGGTTATCCTGGCTTTCTTTGTCATTTTCTACTCATTATCAACTCCAATTTACATCAGCCATTAATTGTTCACAACTTTCTGCATTTCCTTTTATATTGCTTTTTTTTTTTAAATTCTAATTCCTACTTTTACTCCACCAGTGAACTAGGTAGGCTTTCAGCCAAAACCAGCTATTTCTTGACTGGGAATCATGACTTTTAACTAAACTCTTCTCATAGAAATCCTACTCATATCTTTTCCTATCTACATTTTTCTTTGCCTCTATCACACCTCCCCTCCTGCATCAGTTTTTAACACTGCCCTGTTGGTGTCCCTTATCTCCATATCAAAGTGATCTGAGTCAGTAATCTGTTACAAATCTTCAGAGTCAAGTTATTGCTTTTCTAAACTGTAGCTTGAAAGCGCCAAAGAACTGAATTCTCCATCCCCTATTTTACTTCCTTCCAAGCTTTCCATTCTACACTAGTACCTTAGGCTTTCTCCCATCCCCTTCCTTTATTCTTTCAGAATGTAGCATTGCCTGATCTGATGCTGTGGTCACAGTGAAGTCGTCCGTCTCCCTCCGTTTTCACTTTCCCCATCATGCCAGTGCCTGAAAAGTGACGATTATTTCATAACTACACAACATTGGGTCATCAAGTGAAAATGCTGTAGGTATGCTAGGAATTATTGCTATTTGCTTTGCCATTCCATTATCTACAAGTGCATGTAAAACTGCCACAGCTCTAGTTCCTGAAATGCTATCGCCCAGGGTGCTGAACTCCATGCAGCAGAAAGGACCAGGCTGGCGATCTGCCAGCAGCTGAAAGGCTACATCTAATTGTGCATAAAGTTGAGCAGATTGTATGCTTAGACTAGAGCAAACAAGCTTATCTTTAATGCAGACATATGGCCAGCAAAACCTACAGATCCCAGCATGCAACATTCTAGCCAGCTGGCCATTTGGATCAGAATGAAGCATTACATGATCTGATACTGTGGTGACAGAAGATCAGTATCGTAACCCTCCGTGTTCAAAAATCATGAGTCAGGCCACTCAAATTCATGAGTTTGGCTCAGAGAGCTGGAGATTTTAAAGGGGATAAAGCAATTTAATTTGCTTTTGAGACAGGGTTTGCATTCTCCCACTTTACAATCATTAAAAAAAAAATGTATTTTTTTAAGAAAAGCTAAGTCACACAGTCACTTGTCTCTGGGAGCTGAGACACTAAGAAAAAACAGACAGACTCACAGTATGATTAGGGGAGGAGCAGCAACATATTCTGGACTCTTAAAGTGCACAGATAACCTGATAGATAGACATACAGAAAGAATCTGGAACCTGGAATCACCACAGATATCACTGGTAAAGATAAGGATGGCAGACAGTTTTGTTACAAAACTCCAGGTTTTCCAATCTCACGCTAAACTCTCTGCTTTTACCATTGTTTCCTTTATGCAACCTGGTTTTAACTTCCTTTCTTCCCACCTCTCAGCTGTCATATAAAATGTTCTCTCTGCCTCCAACTTTCCATTCTGTAAGACACCCCTGCTCTCCTATAATGACATACCATACATTTTATGACAGTTACCCCCTTGACAGCCATCACAGATGCTCAGTTTCCAAGTAATAAAGAAAACTATTCCAACTGAGTTGTTACTTTTAGACAGGTTAAAATCAGCCCCTTAATCTCCCAGTCCTGTTCTTTAGGTCTTTTCAGACGCTAGGGAAATTCTAGCCAATGCATCACCCAGATGTCGCTCACCTTCAGTCCACTTTCTGTGTATTTGTTGAGGGCAGAGACAATTCTGGCTTCAGTCACAATTCTAGACGTGACAGATTTGGGGATTCCTACTTCTGCTCTGACAATAACTGTTCAAGAGAGGATCTAGCCAGGAAAGGCAAGAAAAGCTTCAGGTGAAAAGGAGGGGATTTGCCAGAGCTATGAACAACATGTCAGGCAATAGGAAAAGCACCGTCTGCTCTGGGTCAGGACCAACATGCACTGGCAGAGTTGAAGGAAGGTAATCCAAAAACCAAAGCCTGAATGCCTTGCAGCCAGAAGTGAGTGACTTTGGCAGAGCCATGCTGATAAAATCAGCAGAAAGCCTGTCTGCTCTCTGTTCTTTTTTCCCCCCCACATTTTCACAAGCAACCAGTACTTTAGGCAGCCTGAATACTTGTTAAAGGGGGGTGGGTTGATCTCTTTTTTAATGTCAGAGCTCCTATCTGCATGTGATAGAGTGCAATTAGAGAGGCTACATGCCTTGCTGATCCTGTAACCAGTTCCTGTCTTACTTCCTTTGCCTGACAAGCTCATTCCATCAATCCCCAGATTCAGTCCAAAAAAGAGCAAGGCAATAAAGTCAGAGCTGCACAGGCACTGTCATGAATCTTCTCCTCTTCCATTAAGAAGCACTCAGCTGCACTTGTGCTCAGGTAATCTTTGAGAGGTAACTTTTTTTTGAGGAGACTGAGGTCTGCACTAACAGCAACAACCACCCAGGAAGGGGGCAAAGGTTCATGCTTACACAGACCTCAGGTTGCCACAGGAAGACAAACATGACAGTGGCATGGCTGAGCCCCACTTTTGTCTGCCACTGGGTAAAATACAGCTGCAAGTCAAATTTGATTTAATGACTTCAGCAAAACTTCCATCTTCATGTCTAACACACAGCACAACCTGCCAAATGCCTGGTCCCTTGAACTAGATATGACACACTGCAAAACTGTATCTGTAATCTTTCAAAGGTGCCATTCTCCATCACAGTTGAAGGTGGCTAAAACCAACTCTGTGATGCAAATTAGCCTTCAGGCTCTTAGCCCTTGGTGCCTGTTTTCTAGTGGAAACATAGAAACCATGGCAGATTTATGTCCCACTTCAGTGGCTCTGTGGTTTCAGGCCTCACTAAATTAAAAAGACTCCTTACCACAAACCCTAGAAAAAAAGAGGGGGAAAAAAAAATGTGAACAGTAGCAACACCTGAACTACTATACAAAACTGCAGCTAAAATTTTCTTGGGAGGTATCTAGGACCTAACCCCCCTTCCAATAGTTCTTTTTGAGTCAAAAGGGCCAACTTGATGAGCCAGTATATGAAAAATGTGCAGTCTCTCCAGACTACACCTCTGGAAAATGACTGCAGCAAGGACACTCCCAGCAAGTTGAACAATGGTTTAGATTTTAGCGCTGTTTATGCCCTGAACAGCCAAAAATGTTCAGAATTCAGGCAGGAGCTCACTAGGTTCATTCTCAGTTATTTTTTCTGCCAAAGGAAAGATATATATAACAAAGTCTGAAAAGCTATTTACAGCGCTGGCAATTCACTGTTCTTCCAGTCAATTCCATCTGGCACAGGACGCCTACTATCCTATCTTGCTACTCTAGGATAGGAATAAAATAGCAAACCTAAGTTCTGATTGTGTCCCAAGATCTAGACAGCAGGATGTGAAAACGCTTGGCCCAATCTAAAAAATGCAGCAAATCAGCAAAAAGCAGTTAGAAACAAATAACAAGTCATTCCCATCTCTTTAGAGAAATATCCTGCCTGAGGAATCCCTGGAAGAGGATTTAAATATATTTAACAGTTGTTCAGCAGAACCGTAGAGATGTGAACTGAAGACACATTCCAGTATGCACATCTTTCTTTTTCCTTCCTCCGTGTGTAATCCTGGTAGAGATTATTCCACACTACAGCATTTCTAACAGTTTATCAAAGGAAAGTTTGAATTCAGCCTCTCAGAGATATCAGCTTAGTGTTAATGACAGCCCATTTAGATAAAGAAAAGCAATACTGGGTGGGACAAGAGGTGTGAAATACTTCAAACCACATAAATTCCCTCTATCACTGGTGGAGTTATCTCTCCTCCTAGGGACACCAGCTGTCACAGGCTCTACAGAAGTCAGGAGGGAATACCACACTCAGACAGAGGGGGTAACTGCTGATGTGCTCAGGCCTGTTGTGAGGATTGGACAGCCCTGGTACACTTCCATCTTACCACTGTAAGCATTTGTAATTGCTTAAAAAGGGAATTGAGTACAACATTAAAGGATAAATTTCCTTGATGGATTTTCAGGTGCTTCTCCTGAGCATACCAACTCCACAGTAACCCATACCACCTTGTCGCCTCAGTGTTCTCCAGGCTACTTGGACTGCCTTCCCTTGCATTGCGTCTCTTGATTCTGCTACCTTTACCTTGTGGGATATCATGCTCCAGAGAGTCTAGAAAGTCAGTGGATGGGTCCAGGTCAGCCTTTTCCAGCAGGGTTTTATTCTTCAGGTTAACAGGCTCAGCAAAATGGAAATAGGAACTTAGTTTTTTTGCCTCCGTCAAAGAAAGACCTGCGAACAGCCATTGGTGACCATTAATACAGTGAGCTGGGCTAACATACATTGTACCATCGAATGTCGTATTGTTTCTCTAACACCCACAGCATACAACAGAATCACAATCTTTCTCCAATGGAGACTAAAGACTTGCCAGAAATGGGTGGCAGTACTCCCTGATGCTGTGCATTAGAGACCATGCTAATTGCAGTCCCAGTTAAGCAATGGGCATGAGTTGAGATCAACTCCTCGTGCCTATTTAATTGTGTCCTATCTCTAGATGGAGAATTCACTGCAGCTATAATTGCTAAACACTGACATAAACTATACACAGACAAATGAAACTACAGGTTTAATGACTCAGAGCCATTACTGACTCTCCTCCCACCTTCCAGAGTTGAATCATGCACCTGAGCATTAGTGGTATTGGATTCTCTCCTCCCTGTTCATCTCACCCAAGATAAAAATAAACCTGAAATCAAAACATCAGCTAGAGAAAGTAATTTTAATTTACCACCTTTATGATCAAAGTACAGTTGATCCTGATAAAGACAATGAGAATTTACCTTCAAAGTTTCTGTTTTCATGCACAGACCCAAGAGGAGTCTTCACAAATGCCCCCCGAGGGATGATACCAACTGCTCTGTCTATCTGTTCTATCGTAGCTACAAGGCGGGACTCCTCCTTGATCACGGTCTTTAAAAAAAAATAGGCAAATTTTAAAGGCAGGACTTTCCTTGTTGTCATTTCTGAAAATAAACTCGAGGTGACAATAGAAACCACAACAGACTCATCAAATTAGAGCTCGATGGCACTAAGAGGAGGCCCACAAATCAGACACTTCTTCTCATAAGAAGAGAAGCAGGAGCAGACAGTCTAGATCCACCAGAGAATTAACTCTTCCTTCCTTCAGCCGTCCTTTCCTTCCTCTCAGTTAAGCTACTTACGCCTTGTCTATTTAGTTACAAAGAATGGTACCTGGAGTTCCCATGTAAAGCCTCAGACACTGCAGTGAGGATCTGTACCAATTATGCATAATAAAACATAAAGGAGAAAGAATATTTCTGAGCTGTGTCTAACTCCAGGAGTAACTGAAGAGTTCAATCAAGAAGCCATTGCTACACAACGACAGCGAAGAGGAAATTGTGTATGTTCTGCCTGAGCCCAGGCTCAGGCTGCTTATTACAAACAAGGAGGAGGAGCCACCACCTGCCCAGTGTGAGGGGTACAACTGTAGCGAAGCGAGTTCAGAAGTGTTTTCCTGTATTTACCTCCTTACCATCTTCAAGCAATCTTTCAGCATCTTCTGCATTTATCTCAGTGTACTCGTACTCAAAAGAAGGATCCCCCTGGAAACGGCCCTTCAGCTGCTCAGCCTGCGCAACCATCTCCTTGGTCACTGGTGGCAGGAGGTTCCATTCCACGCAGTTCAAGCTGCCAGCGACAAGCATGACACAGGCCCGAGCCCGCTGAAGCCTTGCCAGGCCCCTCAGGGGCACAGCGAGGCTCCCCTCAGGAGAGCCGGGCAGCCTCCCCGACCCCCCCATTCCCTCTTTTCTCTCCCCAGTCCCCAAACCGGCCTCCCATAAGCCGTTTAGGCCTCCCCGGTCCCACCTCCCCAGGGAGGTCCGGCCTCCGCACCTGTAGAGGCGGCTGCGGGGCGCGGCGCGGTCAGGGCCCAGCCCCTCAGCGATGTAGTAGGCGCCGCGCACGCCCTGGATGCAGCCCCAGAACCAGACCCGCTCGAAGCGGTAGTCGCGCTGGAGGAGCAGCAGCGAGGCCCCCAGCACCGCCCGCTTCTCCGGGCTCAGCCCCGCGCCG